TTATTATAAAATAATAAGTTAATTTTTAAGTTAATATAATTTTGATACAAATTTATTTTTCTAATTGTACACATTTTAAAACGTATGAAATTATCATATTATTACTTGATAAATGTCATTTTTATCCTTTTAATGGTAAATCTAACTCCTTTTACAGTATTTTATCCTTTTAGGCTATTTTGAGACTTGTGTCTCTTTTTCAAAATCAGAAAACATTGTCCCTAAATTGATAATTATATCCCTATTAAAATTGATGTATAACATGTTTTAGTAATTTTGATGTGTTTTGTTTGATTTTGTATTTGAAGATGAGATTTGAAAGATGATGATGGATTTCATTTAGAATTGTATGTGTATATATATATATATATATACATGCTACAAATCCTGAATAAATCCATTATAATCTTCAAATCTCGTTTTCAAATATGCAAATCAAATTAACATATGAAAATTTAATAAAAGCAAATTATTAGGAAATTCAAATAAAAACTTAATTGAAATTGATAATTAAGGGTATTTTAGTCTTTTAAAACAAAAAAACTGGTGAAAAGTTTTATTTCCTCGAGATATATAAATTCTAATTACCTCAAGATGGTCACCAACGTTGACAACAAATGAGTTAGGAATTGGCTCAACAGTTACCCAGTTTCCTCCATGCTGAATTTGAAGCCCTTTCACTTGCTGATCTTGAAGAGAAGAGTAGAAATCCGTAATCTGAATGCGGTGCCATGCCGAGAGTCAACTCAGGTTCAGGCATGAAGGGTAACAATTCTCACTATGAGTTGGCTTCCATCTTCAAATTCTTCTAAACCACAGCTTCCATTTTCACTTTCAGCTCCTTTTCTGGTTTCCAACAATCCAAGGCTCTCCAGAACGGCCTCCACCAGCATCAGATACAAACTTTTTGTTTCTTTTGAGTAGTCGACTGTCGTCTGCCTGTTCAAATATAAAGAAATTGCAAATTGTCATATATAAAGAAACTTTTTGGTTTGGACGTTTGAAGTTTTTAACATGCGGACCAAAAAGATTAGCGATTGATTATTGCTTTGATTATGTATTTTTTAAGGTAGGACTAATTGCTCACTGTTGATCCACAAGTTAAAAACTTCAAATTGTCCGTATTAGAGAACGCCTACTTATATATATCTCCACCTCAAGTCTGTAGGAGAAGAAGGCCAAAGAGGAAGAACTTCCGAAAAGGGTTGGCAACTAAGCTTCAAGAAATCCCTCCAACAAAACACTGAATCCTTTTTTGGTTAATACTTGTTCCACATCTAACTGGGAACGCATATCTGTTGACATGTACTTCGATCTCTCCTCAAAAGAAGCTCAAAAAATCTTTTCGCTACATGAAACATGTCACTGATAACTTGATTCGGAATTCCATATTGACCAGCTGCATGCAGCATTATCCCAGAAAAAAATAATATGTAAATACAAGTTCAATCCCATATCTGATTAATTATCTAAACAAAATAATTTTTTCAAGGTAGATTAGATAAGACTCACCTGAAAAATCCGTATTCTTCGCAGGCTTTAGCAAGAGATGAGCAAGGCATCTGTTTGAACCTTGCAGCTGAGAAAAATCAATGATGGGTAAATTGAGATTGTAGCTTGAGGAATTAGCATTATATAATATCATTTGCTGATTTATAACTCAAATTGGGACGTTCCGGGAGAGGCAAATGTACTGGTTGAACTTTCTCTATGCCTTTCCACAGAGATGTCTCACTCCCTTCTGGTACTGACTCTCTGGTAGCTATTTTCTCTATCGGTTTCAGCCACCAAACTCATTGCAGGAGACACGATGCACAAAATTAAGCTAATTAAATTCTGCAAAATCTTGATTTAGCTTAGTTGTGATTTGAGTAGTGGTGTGAATAAAGAGTTTGGAATGGTTCATATCTATGGAGGAAATAATTGAAGCAAAGAATTTTAGAGGCGCTGGTGGAAGAACAGTTTGGAATTTCAAGTGGAAGAATTGACTTGGTCTTGCTAATTATGCGTGGATCTAAACCGTTGGCTAATTAGGGGAAGTTCATTAATCATTATTTATTTTTTGAGACTTGGACTAAGTTTGGTCAAAGTCAAACAACGAGGCCCTAGTGAGAACTGAGAAATTAATCAAGAATAAGTATTTGCATGCATGTTCAGAAATTCTTTAAAAAAATCTTTTCAAATTCGAAAAATTATTATTGATAAGTTTTTTCTTGGAATTTAATCAAATATCTCAGATAATTATTAGACCACAAAAATTATATATATATAAAAATAATATAGAGTCAAGTGTTTCTGAAAGTCAAAAACCGTAAAAGAAAATTGGACAGTTACAGTTAGTCTTACGGTTGTGAGGTAAATTAATTAAGTGGGAATGGCCCAGCTGGTCCAAATTGTCGAGTCTTTATATCGTAAATATTTAATATACATTTAATTGTTTATTAATTCGTTCTTGCACTCGATTCATTGCATGTTTAATTTGGATTCATTATATCAATTCTCGTCTTAATGGAGCACATCTATATGTGAAATCTTTGTTTTGAAACTGTATATATCTCACTTAACACGTTTTTTATTATTACTTTTCGTTTTACCTGACCCTATTTTAATTATTCCAAGATCTCTTTTGCACTAAAAAGGATCTAAGATGTGAAAACATGCCAATTGCTCCTCTTTGTCGACAGAAATATGGAACACAGATAACTTTAAAAGATCTCGATATTTTAATTGAACAGTGAAAAGATCACATTTGTTGCAAATTCAATAACTATAAAATGGTTCATATTTAATTTGGATTATCTATATTTTGAGTTGTTTATTATTTATTATGAATCTGACCCTATATAATATAAATTCATGATTCTTGTATCTTTATTAATTAGCTATAGTAGACTAGCTAGATGGGTTTGACTAAAGGAGCTTAACTAGATTTCAACAAAATTTCCAATTAAATTCATCATTCATAATTAATTGATAAGAATTTATTGCCAATAGATATTATTTATATCAATTAATCAACTGATCTTCTATACATCTTGCTCAACATAATGAGAAGTAATCAACCTAGTACCTAGTAATAAATATGTGGGTGGGTTTGGTATTCAATTTTAATATTAATATTAAAGAAAAAAAAAAGAGATTAATTCCTTGCTTCAATAGTGTAAAGTTTTAAAATATATAACTTGTTTAAGTATATAAGATTACACAATATAGTGTTTCGGGTGTGAACATTAAATGTGTAGTATAGTTTGACTCCTCTCATCAGTTGTCTAAAATTTATTTGACTAACAAATTATAACTAGAGAAGTAAATTACACACACAATCTTATCCATATGATAAATATAATTTATTGATCTTCTCTTTCTATTACAATTTTTAAGAGAAATTTTCAAAAATAAATAATTTTTTTTTTTATATTATGTTTATGTCTACATGCAACGTCTCATATATACTTCTTACCTGATTGACTACAATGAAATTTATTGGAACATTTAATCAGCCTCCCCCTAATAACCTAGCAATTTACTGTATAACTTTGACTTGTCATCTTTGAATTAACGTGATATACTACATCTTAGCTGAATTAGGCATAAAAGTTTGTGAAAATTCATTCCAAAATCGCATGTTTTTTTTTTACAATAAATTAATGAACTATTGCAGATTAGACAGATAATTAGTGTATCATAAACCAACTATGATTAGAACAAAGAACAAAAAACACAGGGACCCAATTTTCTTTGAAGGTGGGTTGAGTACAATTCAAACATTTAGAAAACATCAAGTTCTTTAGTCAAAAACTTAAGTCCTCATACTTTTCCATTCAAAATTTGTTTTGATTTCTATGAAACTAATATTCCTTGCAATTGCTCCTAGGAAATCCTCTTTTGGTAGCCGTCAATATGGTTCAAATTAGCAATATATTCATCGAAGACTTTGCAAAGACTTACTAATGCTCTCAATTATTACAATAAGCACTTTAGATAAATAGATGATGTGATATGTTAAAAAGAGTGATATATATATTTTTTAACTATCTGGATGGTCGAGTGTTCGATAGGAACTCTTGAATGTATTACTTAAGAAGTTTTGAGTCGAGTATTTTTCGATTACTAATAGAAGTAACCATTTGAGCTCTTACTTGGTCAATAATTCCAGAGTTTCGAAGAATTAGTTGAATTATGCATAAACTGGCCCGGATTCCCTGGTCATAACCAAAAAAAAAGAAAAAAAAAAAAAAAAAAGAAGGTGTGTGATATTGTTTAAACTTCAAGTTCTTTAATATAGCTGACGTGTATACAAAAGAATATATTGTTTAAACTCTACAAAACCTTTTACAACTATCAGGGTTGGTCGCTTGAGAATATCTAAAGATAGACCACTGTATATTACTTAGTAGCTCAACCTATAAATGTTAATCTCGTATTAACATTATGTATAATATATAATTAATTTTTTACACTTTCCCGTGGCCTAAAATTTTGGTCCAAATACAGGAGATGGGCTTCAAATAGTTGTCAAAGCCCATCAAAGGTTTCAAGATGTTGGGCTGCACATGCAGGACACATTAGCAGTTGCTCTCTAGTCTCAAATTCAAACTCTTAAGACCAGACCCAAAAAAATAATTTAAACTAAGGTGATTTTTTCATATTTTTATTTCTCTACTAACTGTTTAATTAAGATTAGAAAATATAATTATACACAGAGAGCATAATCTTTCACTCATTATACACACAAATCTGTTCATGACTCTGCTTCTATATAGTAAAGAGGCCCCAATATCACAAACTCTATAAATATAGGTGAATAAACAAACAAACAACTATTAAGTATGGAATCAATAATTTGGCTTTAATTATTATATTTTTTTTTAATGAGCAAATTATTTAAAATCAAATCATGTGCAAACCCTCAATGCACTCATCAGAACAGCAATAAATTGGGTTTAATTAATTGAGAGATTTAATTAAGACTAAGAGTTAATTAACACCTTTATCTTCTTTCATCTCAGCCTGATGGCTGCAGCCAACTGATCATAAGCTTCACTCCATGCACTCCCCATGTCTTCACTCCATTTCTTTCCAACTCCCTCTTTGATTGTTCTCAGTAACGCTTTTTCACCACCTATTAAATCCACAACAAACATTCATACCACAAATTCAATGGAATTAAATTTAGAATAATATATATACCAAGTTCCAAATTTTCAATCCGATTTCAACCTTTTAACATAAGTTTCTTATTATTGAAGATGTAAAATTGAGATATATCATAATACTGTTTGATTTTATAAATAATTAATTGTACTTAAGTACCTCAAAATGCGGGTCATGACTCCATTCTTAAGATGAACTGTCCCAAATATTTCGAAGTAGTATGAGCCACCGTCACCTCTCTCTCTCCCGGCTTTTTAATTATTTAATTAATTTTTAATTTAAAATCACCAACCATCTTAAAAACACGTCAATTTATATAAAAAATTTGTATATAAAATATTATATATTATTTACATAACATGAATAATCGTATTTTATACCATATAAGTCACGTGCACCTTGAACATCATCTGAATGCAATTTCCTTTTGATGGTTCCGAATCCAATTGTTGCAAACATCACTGATTCTTTCTCAGAGCTATGATCGAGCCCAATCACATGACCAACTTCATGCACTGCAATTGTTTCCAGGTCCATCTCGTCTCTCGCCGGATCTTTTAATAGGCTCCATTTTTCATCTGCATCATAGTGTATCCTTCCATCAACCGCTGTAAATGCATGAGCAACAACGCCTTTAGGACCGTCGAATGGCAACCCATCGCCATGATCGCCGTGATGGAATCCGATCACAATATCAGCTTTAGCATTTTCTCCAACTTCCTCAAAAGTAAAATTTGTCACTTCACTCCATGTTTTAAATGCCCTTGAACAAACAGCGCTTATGTCCTGGTTGCTGCCCGGAACATTGGCGCTCGATTTGAAATTGTACGTTAGATGGTGTCTTTCCGGAGGCCACTTCGGATTTCCTGGAAAGAATTTATAGCGTGAGACATGATGAACTTCAAGCCCCGATGATCCTGAATTTTTTTTTCTTATATATATATATATATATATATAGAGAGAGAGAGAGAGAGAGAGAGAGAGAGAGAGAGCATTCCTCTTGTGAAAGTTCCCTTGTTGCATCATTAAGTTGCCCTTTTGAACAGGGCAAAATCTTCCTCTTTTAGATTTAAAGATTGACCTAATCAACTTCTTATCCAAATTATTAGGAATATTATTAAGTGTAATGGGAACACTTAAAGACAAAATTAATTAGCCATAAAACAGCTCACATATATACCAAAGATTTAGATGCTTGCATATTTTGCACCTTTTTTGTAGTAAAATATCTGAAATGATCTCCACTGATTTAGGTAAGGAATTTGCAGCATTCAATTTCTTCTCGGTATGACTAATTAATCCTAATCAACTATCGGGAAATATCATGGATCGATTTTATTTATAGTTACACATTAATGATAAAGTTTTTAGTAAAATGGATTAATCTTAACATGGAATGTAGTTAAAATTCTTAAATTCGGCATTAATACAAGGATTCTCTTGGATATAAGTTAAAACATGCATCATATAGAGATGGAAGTAAGCATAAAATGACGCAAGGGAAATGTCAAAGACGCGCAGTGAGAAGGGAATCATAAAGAGATGGAAGTAAGCATAGAATGATAAGTGATTTTGGAATTAGGAAATTAAGGAAATCAAACCTAATGCAGTTCAATTTTTTCGCCAAAGATATGCAAAAATTAAGGGGAAAAACTTGGTAAATACTGAGAGAAAATAAGCTTAATTGTTATAGTATTATCAAATACTGTATGTTTCTTAACAGAACACATTCACACAAGCAGTTTTAGATGACCTCTACTGGGTTGCAAATTAATGACCTATTATACTCTATTGAAATTTCGGGCTTTTCGGAAGAAATATCTTCATTCGGTTGCTTGGACAAAAGGATTTTATTAGTTATATAACTAATATATTAATTTGCTGAGTAATTGGCTGTGCACATGATGATGCAACAAACTGATGATAGCATGATGAGAAAATAAAATTACCCAATGAAAGATATATAAGAGTTAATTTTCAGATTCAACTATGGATACGTGATAGTATATTAATGATAAAAAATTAATAATTACGTGAGAAAGAAACGAAATTAAGGGAACAGAAGAGATGAATAAATTGAGCTTGTGGTAATTATAAAATAATTAATATAAAAACAAATAACATATATTAGTAATTAACGTTCATGTTTCACAACATATTCATGAAAAAAAGATAAGATAAACTTAAATTGATGAACAGGATTCTCTAAATACAATTTGGTCCATTGTGGGACACCATAGTAGGTTGCTTCTTGGAGACCAAATTATACAAGTCATTGGTTAATTTCATCAATGCAGAGAGATGAAAATAGAGAAGCATTTGTTAAAACTTAAAAGGCTGCAATTAATGTTAATAAAAAATGTCACATAATTCTAACATGTGAACAAGCGTATTCAAAATCCATGGAATTTCTTCACCACCGAATAAATGTGTACTATGTTTTGAAATTTGAGCTACAAAAAAGTCAAGATTATTAGACTTTTCATTTGTTTACCAGTACTGTTCCCTCAAGCTCAAGTCAATTTCCTGGATTCCAGGAAATTCTTTTGCCGTGGTTCACAGGATGAAATGTAATCAAGAAAAGTCGCAAAGTCTGTGGCCTTGTAACGACTTGGATTGGCTTCATTGGCGAGTTTCGGTGCCGGTCGAATCACGCTACTGAAGGGCAAGCTGTGCAAGGAAGCGACGGAGATTCTGGGTGTTGAATTTGCAAGAACCCTGTGGAGTACACTTTTGTATCTTCCATTGCTAAATATCTATTTAGCGAACAAACAAAATCAGATCAAAGAGCTGTACTTAATTTATAATCATGGGATGAAATATTGAACGTAATTTACTGGTTGATAGAAGAGATTAAAACTTTTCACCCGTGACGTTTGACTGACTTACAAATACACCCAAAGAATTCCAAGTGTGATAAATTCACCAAACTTTTTACTAAAAGCCTAAAGTACCTTTAATTATTATTTTCAAGTTTCTTATTTAAATGGGATATTATCAATTGAGGGACATTGTTTTCTGAATTTTGGAAGAAAAAGGTTTCAACTTTCAAAACAGATTCAAAAGAGACAAAACTCCGTTAATCAAAGTTAAGTTTAACCAAAAAAAAAAAAAAAAAAAAAGATAAATGCCCATATACTAATATTTATATAAAAAAAAACTATTTTTTTAAAAAAATAAGATATCATAAAAAATAACAATGAAAACTGAAAAAACATATGCTAATATTTATAATATTAAAAATAAGACTACTATAAAAAATAAACAAAAGTAAAAATATAACAATAAAAAAAATGCACAAAAGTTAAAGAAACCAATAAACTTAAAAAAAAAAATCTTCAAAATAAAAAATATTTAAAAATAAAACATTTGGAAAATTAAAAGAAAAATAATTTGGCCAACAGAGCTAACCGTCTGTGCACGGCCTGGCGGACGCCGGTGCACACATTGCAGCCTAACTTGGACAAAGCAAGGCCAAGTAAGGCTACCGCCTTTTGCTTGCCAGCAAACAGGCCACGTATGGCTAGATCTGTGGCCAACTTGACTAGATTGGTCGCCATGCTAGGCCACAATGGCCACCGATCTAGCTGTGTGGCTAGTTCGATGACTAGGAAAGGGTGGCGACTTGGCTAGGCCACATCGTTGCCAACAACACTGGCCTTGGCTGTTGGCCACCTGTTTTTTTTTTTTAGTTTTCTTCATATTTTTAATTATTTAGTTATTATAAAAATAATAAGTTAATTTTTAAGTTAATATAATTTTGATACAAATTTATTTTTCTAATTGTACACATTTTAAAACGTATGAAATTATCAAATATTATTACTTGATAAATGTCATTTTTATCCTTTTCAAATGGTAAATCTAACTCCTTTTAACAGTATTTTATCCTTTTAGGCTATTTTGAGACTTGTGTCTCTTTTTCAAAATTCAGAAAACATTGTCCCTAAATTGATAATTAATATCCCTAATTAAAATTGATGTATAACATGTTTTTAGTAATTTTTGATGTGTTTTGTTTGATTTTTGTATTTGAAGATGAGATTTGAAAGATGATGATGGATTTCATTTAGAAATTTGTATGTGTATATATATATATATATATACATGCTACAAATCCTGAATAAATCCATTATAATCTTCCAAATCTCGTTTTCAAATATGCAAATCAAATTAAACATATGAAAATTTAATAAAAGCAAATTATATAGGAAATTCAAATAAGAAACTTAATTGAAATTGATAATTAAGGGTATTTTAGTCTTTTAAACAAAAAAACTGGTGAAAAGTTTTAATTTCCTCGAGATATATATAATTCTAATTACCTCAAGATGGTCACCAACGTTGACAACAAATGAGTTAGGAATTGGCTCAACAGTTACCCAGTTTCCTCCATGCTGAATTTGAAGCCCTTTCACTTGCTGATCTTGAAGGAGAAGAGTAAGAAATCCGTAATCTGAATGCGGTGCCATGCCGAGAGTCAACTCAGGTTCAGGGCATGAAGGGTAACAATTCATCACTATGAGTTGGCTTCCATCTTCAAATTCTTCTAAACCACAGCTTCCATTTTCACTTTCAGCTCCTTTTCTGGTTTCCAACAATCCAAGGCTCTCCAGAACGGCCTCCACCAGCATCAGATACAAACTTTTTGTTTCTTTTGAGTAGTCGACTGTCGTCTGCCTGTTCAAATATTAAAAAAAATTGCAAATTGTCATATATAAAAGAAACTTCTTAGGTTTGGACGTTTGAAGTTTTTAACATGCGGACCAAAAAGATTAGCGATTGATTGTTGGCTTTTGATTATGTATTTTTTAAAGGTAATGACTAATTGCTCACTGTTGATCCACAAGTTAAAAACTTCAAATTGTCCGTATTAGAGAACGCCTACTTATATATATCTCCACCTCAAGTCTGTAGGAGAAGAAGGCCAAAGAGGAAGAACTTCCGAAAAGGGTTGGCAACTAAGCTTCAAGAAATCCCTCCAACAAAACACTGAATCCTTTTTTTGGTTAATACTTGTTCCACATCTAACTGGTGAACGCATATCTGTTGACATGTACTTCGATCTCTCCTCAAAAGGAAGCTCAAAAAATCTTTTCGCTACATGAAACATGTCACTGATAACTTGATTCAGAATTCCATGATTGACCAGCTGCATGCATGCATTATCCCAGAAAAAAATAATATGTAAATACAAGTTCAATCCCATATATCTGATTAATTATCATAAACAAAATAAATTTTTTCAAAGGTAGATTAAGATAAGACTCACCTGGAAAAATCCGTATTCTTCGCAGGCTTTAGCAAGAGAATTGAGGACATGGTATCTGTTTGAACCTTGCAGCTGAGAAAAATCAATGATGGGTAAATTGAGATTGTAGCTTGAGGAATTAGCATTAATATTAATATCATTTGCTGATTTATAACTCAAATTGGGACGTTCCGGGAGAGGCAAAATGTACTTGGTAGGAACTTTCTCTATGCCTCTCTCACAGAGATGTCTCACTCCCTTCTGGTACTGACTCTCTGGTAGCTCATTTTCTCTATCGGTTTCAGCCACCAAACTCATTGCAGGAGACATGGATGCACAAAATTAAGCTAATTAAATTCTGCAAAATCTTGATTTAGCTTAGTTGTGATTTGAGTAGTGGTATGAAAAAAGAGTTTAAGAATGGTTCATATCTATAGGAGGAAATAATTGAAGCAAAGAATTTTAGAGGCGCTGGTGGAAGAACAGTTTGGAATTTCAAGTGGAAGAATTGACTTGGTCTTGCTAATTATGCGTGGATCTAAACCGTTGGCTAATTATGGGAAGTTCATTAATCATTATTTATTTTTTGAGACTTGGACTAAGTTTGGTCAAAGTCAAACAACGAGGCCCTAGTGAGAACTGAGAAATTAATCAAGAATAAGTATTTGCATGCATGTTCAGAAATTCTTTAAAAAAATCTTTTCAAATTCGAAAAATTATTAAGTTGATAAGTTTTTTCTTGGAATTTAATCAAATATCTCAGATAATTAATTAGACCACAAAAATTATATATATATATAAAAATTAAATATAGAGTCAAGTGTTTCTGAAAGTCAAAAACCCTAAAAGAAAATTGGACAGTTACAGTTAGTCGTTACGGTTGTGAGGTAAATTAATTAAGTGGGAATGGCCCAGCTGGTCCAAATTGTCGAGTCTTTATATCGTAAATATTTAATATACATTTAATTGTTTATTAATTCGTCCTTTGCACTCGATTCATTGCATGTTTAATTTGGATTCATTATATATCAATATTCGTCTTAATGGAGCACCATCTATATGTGAAATCTTTGTTTTGAAACTGTATATATCTCACTTAACACGTTTTTTATTATTACTTTTCGTTTTTACCTGACCCTATTTTAATTATTCCAAGATCTCTTTTGCACTAAAAAGGATCTAAGAGTTGAAAACAATGGCCAATTGCTCCTCTTTGTCGACAGAAATATGGAACACAGATAACTTTAAAAGATCTCAATATTTTAATTGAACAGTGAAAAGATCACTTATTGTTGCAAATTCAATAACTATAAAATGGTTCATATTTTAATTTGGATTATCTATATTTTGAGTTGTTTATTTATTTATTATGAATCTGACCCTATATAATATATAATTCATTGATTCTTGTATCTTTATTAATTAGCTATAGTAGACTAGCTAGATGGGTTTGACTAAAGGAGACTTAACTAGATTTCCCAACAAAATTTCCAATTAAATTCATCATTCAATAATTAATTGTATAAGAAAATTTATTGCCAATAGATATTATTTTATATCAATTAATCAACTGATCTTCTATACATCTTTGCTCAACATAATTGAGAAGTAATCAACCTAGTTACCTAGTAATAAATAATGTGGGTGGGTTTGGTATTCAATTTTAATATTAAATATTAAAAAGAAAAAAAAAAAAAGAGATTAATTCCTTGCTTCAATAGTGTAAAGTTTATAAATATATAACTTGTTTAAGTATATAAGATTACACAATAATAGTGTTTCGGGTGTGAACATTGAATGTGTGGTATAGTTTGACTCCTCTCATCAGTTGTCTAAAATTTTATTTGACTAACAAATTATAACTAGAGAAGGTAAATTACATACACAATACTTAATCGATATGATAAATATAATTTTATTGATCTTCTCTTTCTATTACAATTTTTAAGAGAAATTTTCAATAAATAAATAATTTTTTTTTTTTAATATATATGTATTATGTCTACATGCAACGTCTCATATATACTTCTTACCTGATTGACTACAATGAAATTTAGTTGAACATTTATAATCAGCCTCCCCCTAATAACCTAGAAATTTACTGTATAACTTTGACTTGTCATCTTTGAATTAACGTGATATACTACATCTATAGCTGAATTAGACATGAAAGTTTGTGAAAATTCATTCCAAAATCTCATGTTTTATTTTACAATAAATTAATGAACTATTGCAGATTAGGCAGAATAATTAGTGTATCATAAACCAACTATGATTAGAACAAAGAACAAAAAACACAGGGACCCAATTTTCTTTGAAGGTGGGTTGAGTACAATTCAAACATTTAGAAAACATCAAGTTCTTTAGTCAAAAACTTGAGTCCTTACATACTTTTACCATTCAAAATTTGTTTTGATTTCTATGAAACTAATATTCCTTGCAATTGCATCCTAGGAAATCCGTCTTTTGGTAGCCGTCAATATGGTTCAAATTAGCAATAATATTCATCGAAGACTTTGCAAAGACTTACTAATGCTCTCAAATGTTATTACAATAAGCACTTTAGATAAATAGATGATGTGATATGTTAAAAAGAGTGATATATATATTTTTTAACTATCTCTGGATGGTCGAGTGGTTCGATAGGAACTCTTGAATGTATTACTTAAGAAGTTTTGAGTTCGAGTATTTTTTCGATTACTAATAGAAGTAACCATTTGAGCTCTTACTTGGTCAATAATTCCAGAGTTTCGAAGAATTAGTTGAAGTATGCATAAACTGGCCCGGATTCCCTTGGTCATAACCAAAAAAAAAAGAAAAAAAAAAAAAAAAGAAGGTGTGTGATATTGTTTAAACTTCAAGTTCTTTAATATAGCTGACGTGATATACAAAAGAATAATATTGTTTAAACTCTACAAAACCTTTTACAACTATCAGGGTTGGTCGCTTGAGAATATCTAAAAGATTAGACCACTGTATATTACTTAGTAGCTCAACCTATAAAGATTTAATCTCGTATTAACATTTATGTATAATATATAATTAATTTTTTAACACTTTCCCGTGGCCTAAAATTTTGGTCCAAATACAGGAGATGGGCTTCAAATAGTTGTCAAAGCCCATCAAAGGTTTCAAGATTGTTGGGCTGCACATGCAGGAACAATTAGCAGTTGCTCTCTAGTCTCAAATTCAAACTCTTAAGACCAGACCCAAAAAAATAATTTAAACTAAGGTGATTTTTTCATATTTTTATTTCTCTACTAAACTGTTTAATTAAGATTAGAAAATATAATTATACACAGAGAGCATAATCTTTCACTCATTATACAACAAAATCTGTTACATGACTCTGCTTCTATATAAGTAAAGAGGCCCCAATATCACAAACTCTTATAAATATAGGTGAATAAACAAACAAACATACTATTAAGTATGGAATCAATAATTTGGCTTTAATTATTATAATTTTTTTTTAATGAGCAAATTTATTTTAAAAATCAAATCATGTTTGCAACACCCTCAATGCACTCATCAGAAACAAGCAATAAAATTGGGTTTAAATTAATTGAGAGATTATTAATTAAGACTAAGAGAGCTTAATTAACAGCCTTTATCTTCTTTCATCTCAGCCTTGATGGCTGCAGCCAACTGATCATAAGCTTCACTCCATGCACTCCCCATGTCTTCACTCCATTTCTTTCCAACTCCCTCTTTGATTGTTCTCAGTAACGCTTCTTTCACCACCTAATTAAATCCACAACAAACATTCATACCACAAATTCAATGGAATTAAATTTAGAATAATATTATATACCTCAAGTTCCAAATTTTCAATCCGATTTCAACTTTTTTTTAACATAAGTTTCGTATTATTGAAGATGTAAAATTGAGATATCATAATACTGTATTGATTTTATAAATAATTAATTGTACTTAAGTACCTCAAAATGCGGGTCAATGACTCCATTCTTAAGATGAACTGATCCCAAATATTTCGAAGTAGTATGAGCCACCGTCACCTCTCTCTTCTCCCGGAGTTGAACCGCGGAATCACGTCTAAACCACCACAACCACCATAATTAATAAGTGTTATGGAGATTTAATTGGATACTAATAATCCTAAATCTTTATGAAAACAAAAATAAAACAAATGACAAATAATCAATTAGATATACAAATACAAGAATTATGATGGTTCATTATTTGTATGAGAGTTACGTCCATTTTGTAGTTGTATAATTTTACTATGAAAAATAAGAAAAAGAAATACAAGAGTTTCTCACAAGCCAAAAAAAAATTAACTTACTTACTAAACCTCTCTTTGGCAAGATTTGACAATTTTTTATAGGTAATACATGATATATTGTTCCTAATAAAACTCAAATATCATATATAATAGAACTTTTATTTTAATTCTTAGTACAATTATATCCTAAAGAAAAACAATCCTAGAAACATATTAGAAAAATTCATGTCTTAATACAATACTAATTTGGATTGAATTTGGCTCTACAATATTTAATTATATAACTAATTAAACAAACTTAAGTTTATTAAGATAATAAATTATAGAAATATAAATCTCACCTAGGCATGGCAATGGGGCGGGGCGGGGATCTCATTCAGTGTACCCATCCCCACCCTCAAAATCATTCCCCACCCCCGCCCCATCTCCGTTATGGGGATGATAGGAATTCCCCTTCCTCACCCCAAAGGGGAATGTTGGAGGCCCGTCCCCGCCCCGTTAATTTTATATAAACATAAATTAATTTGAGCATTATCAAACACAATAGTTAATTCTCGTCTACATGACAAACACTTAAATTAATCGTTTAAAAATAATTAATTATACATAAATATGGGTCAGGGTTTGTTCTTGTTCAATTGTTTAGGGTGAGGGAAATTGAGAAATATGGGTTTATATAAGTAAGATAATTATGTAATTAAATGAAATATAGGGGTATTAGTAAAAAGTATATATATATATATTTTTTTTAATTTTATATATTATATACGAGGGAAATGCATCACCCACCCCCGCCCCATCCCTGAGGACGGGGATTAAAACACCCCCCACCCCTGCCCTTATCCCCAAAAAACCCGGGGCTTCCCTGCCACATATGGGGCGGGGCGGGGCGGGATAGGTTCTCGAAATCCCGGGGAACATTGCCATGCCTAATCTCACCATCTTGAAGACCTTAACAGCATGAGCCTTGAGCTTAGGATTGTTCTGCGGTATCTCATCGGAATCCCTAAGAAAAGAGAACATGGGTCTTGCAGCAGGTGCAATCTCCAAAATTCTAATCCAAACAAAACCGATATTAATATTAATGTACTTGAAACTATAAATAGAAATATTAAACAAAATTCTATTTATTTACTAACGTTGCGAAGAAACGGAGGCTGAGTTCAGGGATATTTAGCTTCAAAATATCCCAGGATTCCTTGACCAAAACTTCTTGATTCTCAGTGAAACCCATCTTCGGCTTCTTTGGTTCCGGTTCAGATAGATAAGGAAGTAGTGGAAAGTGGAGAGGTACATATAGAACAAAGAAAAAAACCAGGCTATTATCGCTTCCAGTGAAGGCCGTTTAATAAAAAAAAATCATATAGTATAATGTATAATGTAATGTGCATTCTCAAACATATATTATAAAGTATATAAAATATAAATTAAATAGGTGTTTCAAGTTTCAAGTTTCAACAGCAAGTGCAACCCACGTCAGGTCATAAAAATAATAAATGAATTTATTTGTGAAATGCGTGGCAGCCACATGTTTCATGATATCAGGAAAGTCAAGTATATTTATTTATTTTTTAATTAAGAATTCCTAGAGAACAATTCTGTATTTTTAATTCAATTAATTTTTTATTTCTCTAATCACAGTATATACCCTTGATTATCACCTCATAATGATACATGTTTCAAAAACCCATCTTTTATTAAAATAAATCAAAGAAATAAACAAACACCCACCTTTTATTTCACCGTAAATTTATCAAGTAATACATGGTTCACACAGTATCCGCAATTTTTTTGTTCCATCCTAGGACTAAACAGTCCGAATTCAACTTATTTTGACTCATCTTTTTAAGCTTTCAAGAAGAGTCTCTCCAGCCAAGTCTGACAGCACTCTGATGACGATCATAGGGAAACTATTTGACAAACATGTCTGGAAGAGCCACCACCATCAAAATCAGTTTCATTGCAGATAAAGTGAGAATTCGTCAACAAATTTGAAATTGCAGAAACGCATAGAAGAATCACGAAAAGATCAGTTAGTATAAATTAAAATCGCACCATTACAACAGCTGAACTCTCCATGTCCGCGGATGAAACATTAAAACTTCGAAATAGGAAGTCTCTATAGGCTGCATTGTTCACAAAAATGTTGGCTGCCGAGCCCCTAAGTCCAACTGCTAGCTTCGGTTTTTCTTGTAGGCACAAGGTTGAATTGACACATTGTTCCAATGCTATCCCCTGAAGTGGTAAATATGAAGGATAAAGGAAATCTTTGAACAAAGTACAGAAATAAGTGACATTAAAAAAAGTAAACACTGCTATATATATATATTAAGGAATAAAATCATTCATATTTTCTTTCTTTATTTTCATGATTATTATGTATATTGTGTTTCCTAGTATATAAGATTTTTATCATTATTATGATGATTGTATTTCTTTGTACAAATTATCTTGAGTCTTTATATTGTACATTTTTCTCAACATTGAATATACAAGTGATAATTCAATTCTACATGGTATCAGAGTGGTGATTTCCCCTGTATCCTAAAACTTTGAAAGTTGACAGTTTCCCCCCTGTATCTAGGGTTTTATCTTTTTCTTCTTGCAACTGCCTCCCCTTAACTTTGCGATCTTGCAAAGTCATCCCTACAAGCAATTGTCAATGAACTAGATCAGCGCCGTTCACCACGACCTTTTAGCTTCCTCGGCTCCAATGACGATTCATCTTCCCAATGCCGATCTTGTTCTTCTCTCCAACTGCCAGCCGCCGTCAATGCAACTTCTCATCTCTGGTGACGCTTCATTTCCATCAGTGTCACTTCATCTTTAGTAGAATCTTGACCGTGAAAAAACTGAGACTTCCAAGCTTGATACGTATTGTGCTTAATTAGAGAGGAAAAATAGCTTCCAATATTGACCGTGGTAGGCAAGGGTGGAGAGTATAATGCCCTTTTGCGAAATAATACTTGGGTTCTTATTTCACCAAATCCTCAGCAGAATCTTGTTGGTTGTCATTGGGTGTACAAAGTTAAGCGTAGAGCTGATGGGTCTATTGAACGTTACAAGGCTCGTCTAGTTGCCAAGGGTTTTATTAGTAGCTTGGTATGGACTTTGCAGATACTTTCAGTTCCGTTGTTAAGCCATTCATTATTCGCACTATCCTTGCTCTTGCCACAATGCATGGTTGGCCGCTTTGTTAACTTCATGTCAAGAACACCTTTCTCCAAGGTTATTTGATTGAAGAACTCTTCATGGAGCAACCTCCCGATTTCATTGATTCACAATGACCATCCCATGTATGTCGTCTCATTAAGGCTATCTATGGTCTTAAGCAGGCACCTCGTGCGTGGTACCATCGTCTATACTCCTTTTTGGTTGATAATGGATTTACTAATAGCCGATCTAACTCCTCTCTCTTCATCCACCGCACCTTCACTTATGTTGTGATTCTTCTTGTCTATGTGGATGATTTGGTTGTTACTGGTTTGGACCCATTTGCCATCGCTAGCAGTGTCTCTACTTTATGCTCTGTATTTGCCTGCTGAGACTTTGGCTCCCTTGGTTTCTTTCGTGGCATGGAAGTTGTCCGGGACAATATTATCCGGGACAATATTGTCCTGTACTTGTCTCAATGACATTATATGGTGGACTTACTTCAACGCTTCCAACTTGAATCCTGTGCTCCATGTGCCACACCCTTTGGATCTTACAAAGCGTCATAGTCCTTTGATGATGATCTTTTTTTGGATACTACTCTTTGTCGCAGTATGGTTGATGGTCTTCAATATCTCACTCTCACTAGGCCTGACATTGCCTTTGCTATGAATCAAGTTGCTCAACGATTGTCTGCTCCTACTCAATGCGATATACATGCTACTAAGTGTATTTTTTGGTACCTTAAGGGCACTTTATTTCGTGGTCTCACTTTTCATCGAGACATTGGCCTTCATCTTCTTGCCTATTCTAATGCTGATTGGGCTATTGATGTTGCTACTCGCCACTCTATCTTTGGTGGTTGTGTTTTTCTTGGTCACAATCTAATATCTTAGACTACTAAGAAGCAATCGATTGTGTCTCGCTCAAGTGCTGAATTTGAGTATCGTGCTCTTGCACATGTTACTATTGATGTTCAGTGGTTTTGTTATTTTCTGCGTGAGCTGGGCATTCCTTTGTATTCTTCTCCCTTGCTTCTCAATGACAATTAATCTACACCACATATGGTTGCCAATTCTATCTTTCATGCTCGTACTCGGCATATTGATATTGATATGCACTTCATTCATAAGTTGGTAGCCTACGGGGCTATTCGTCTTTGACATGTTCTTACCGCTCAGCTTGTGGATATTTTCATCAAAGGCTTGTCTCGTGAGCAATTTCAGTCGCTCTGTCTCTAATTGCAGCTCCTAGATCTATTGCTTCAATTGCGGTGGAGTATTAAGGAATAAAATCATTCATATTTTCTCTCTTTATTTTCATGATTATTATGTATATTGTGTTTCCTAGTATATAGGTTTTTTTATCATTATTATGATGATTGTATTTCTTTGTACAAATTATCTCGAGTCTTTATATTGCACAATTTTCTCAATATTGAATATACAAGTGATTATTCAATTCTACACTATAAGGTCCTGAGATTTTCAGTCAATGCTAATAATTAAGCTTTCCAACTTATCCAATCTTCGGAAATCAATATCTTATAGTTGAAAATGTAAAAATAAAGCAATACATTTAAAAGGCTATCTAACCTCTAATTAAGAAGCAAAGCTGAAGCCAGTGCTGCATCCACATTAGTGATTGGGTAGTGTCAAGTTGCCACAACTTAGAAAAGAATTGCTCAATACTATATTCGATATGCCCCAAAAGATTGGAATCATGCCACTCTTTGGGTACATTGTAGCTCTCCAAGTTCAAGTGAACAATGTAGTTAGGGGCCAATGTTGCATTTGGGTTCTATCAATGATGAAAATGTATAAGCTTTAAGCTGCAATTCAGTTGAATGACAATAACAATAACAGATTGTGGAAAGAAATCAAAAGCTAAAATGGAGGTTAGTTATACTAGCCTATCCCATATGCCAGTTTGAACAAACTATTTCGGTATAGTAACATCTCCAATTGACATTGAATTATTTACATTGCCAACAATAATGTCAAAATGGACAACTCCCGATATGAAAAAAGTATATCGTTTGTTGTGTGGTTTCAACAACATTCACCTGATTCAGCCAACAAAATTTCTTATAAATAAGCTTGGGAATCAATAATGGTGAAGAAACCTATTCTAGAACATGCGCTTTGGAAGAAGATCGACAAACTCCTAGTAAGCTAGTTACTTGCTTCTATCGTTGAATAAATGTTTACACTCTAAATGTCAATATTTGGCTGATATTTGGCTCACTTTAAGAAAAGAATTTCTTACTGAATTTAAGGCAAAGACCTTGCATGTTAGAAATCAGTTACATACCAATAAAAAGCACAATCTTAATATTCAAGATTATGTTGTCAAAATGAAAGGATTTGCTGAGAATTTGTCTTGCAAGTGGTATTGTGGTTTCTAGTGAGGAGCTTTTGAATTACATTCTAGATGGTCTTGTTTCTGAATATGATGATGCTATTGTGAATATAACATCTGGATTAGAGTCCAAATTAGATGTTATATCTGTGCAAGAAGCACAATTTATACTGCAGAAGTATAAACTTCTTTTGGAAAGAGCAAACTCAATAATGAATTCAATTGTAAATGCTGAATTCCATGAAAGTTCTCCAAATATTGCTCAACCTTTATTAGATATTGCAAGCAGGAAGCAACTTTCTGGTCAACTTTAGTATAATAATGCTACTCTGCAAACTCCTGCACTACAACCTCACAACTTTACTTGTCAACATTTTGGTACTCAGTCTCATGCTATTGGTCAAAATCAATTCATGAATTTAGTTTCTCAAAATCAAATTTATCCTCAATAGTTCTCTAGTAGCAAATAAAGAGGTAGATGAAAAGGCAAAGGCAAGTTTATATACCAAGTTTGTGGTAAAACAGGTCATTTAGCTTTGAATTGCTATCACAAGTTTAATGTGAATTAGAGAGGAAATCAACCTTTGGTCAATAGTAACTTTGTGGTACCAGGATTTTCTAGACCAAACGAGTTTTTTTCAAGGATCACAGTACTATTCTGGTACTCCTTAGCATTTTTATCTTGGTCCTTCTAATTTTGGCCCTCAAGTGACTTCACAA